ACCTGGCCATTCCCTTGGCCAATAAAGCACAGCTGAGTGTGCTGAATCAGGCTATCCTGGGCTCCGAGGGTGGAGGACATGCAGGTAGTTTACACTCTAATGGTGGACAGACAAATATCAGGGCTGAGAGGAAAATAAAACCAAGCAACAGGAGAATAGCTAGGGGTATTCCTGAGTGATTGATTAGATCATTCCCTGACAGAATCAAGTACTGAGAAAAGAAGGTGTCTTAGTAGCAGGTCCAACTCATGATAGATGACTGGGTGAGACTTCCTGACCACACACTAGGCAGAGGCTCTCAGACAGATTGTATAATGTCTCTGATGAGGTAGAGTCTGACCAAGCTGTTCAACTGTCTACATTTTAGCCCTTTCAGCTAGACTACCAAATACATAACCCAGGGTATCTTGAAGAAGCATAACTCATACCTTCAAAGTTATACATTAGAAATTCATAATTTCAAAGCCTCAGAACCTCTAAAATCACACAACTTCTAAATTCATATAGCTTAAGATATCACAATCATAGATTTAACTTTTTGTTTTATTTTTCAATTTTTTAAAAAGTAAGAGGAAGGAGTTGATGAGATGTTCAGAAGGAAAGGTTGCTTGCTATCAAGTCTGGCAGCCTGAGCTCTCTGTTCCTGGAACCCACATGGTAGAAGAAAAGAACCAATTCTCCAAAGTTTTTCTCTGATTGCTTCTCCTCTCTCTCTCTCTCTCTCTCTCTCTCTCTCTCTCTCTCTCTCTCTCTCTCTCTCTATCTCGTGGAAACTTTGGGTTTCTTTGGAAAGTCAGTTATGTCAAATGATGTTTTGCTGGGGCACACAGGTAAAGGATATTTTGCTAAGCAGACACAAGAAAGAATATTTTGCTGAAGTAGACCCGTGAAAGGATGCATGTGTGACTCTGACGAGCCTTGGCTTATCGGAGACCTTCTGAGTTAACAACACAAAGCTGGGGATCAATACAAAAGCAAGAGGAATTTTATTGTTCCAGCATGCTGGGGTCATTCTGCATCCAAAAGGAAAGGCGGCAACCCCAGGTAACTCATTCAGTGGACCTTTATACAGTTTCCAGGGGTAGCATAGAGAAACAGCAGCTAGGCAAAATATGATTGGGAGAACAGTGTGACTTTTACACTGATTAGACTTTAGGGAATGAGGCAGCAGGGACTTACCTTGTCTGTGAGTGGCCAATGGTCCATCCTGTGGAATGTGTCCATGTGCTCTGGGCCTCCCCCACCCACAGGTTGGTCCCCACCCCCTGTGGTCTGAGGAATGTTATCCTCTCTTTTCTGGAGAGACAAGTGTTCCAAAGTTCCTGAGCTGACTTCTTCGCATGATGTTAAGAAGGAATATAAATATAACCCAAGAGATGGTGGATGACACTGGATGGTATTAGTCCACCTTACCATTGTTTATTGGTCATTGTTTGTTGTAAGTCCATACAGAGAAATGCACCAAAAAACTTCTGGTGGTGTTCTGGTGGCTTCTTGCCATTTCAGTGGATTCAGGTCAATTGGCAGAATGAAGTGGATACAGACTCACGTGGTATTTTGCTGAGGCAAGACCCGTGGGAGGACACGTGATGTTTGGAGGGAGTATAAGTAGGACTCAGCGGACAGTGATGGAGTTTGCATAGCTAGCTTTGCAACATTTCGTTGGTCTCATGTCTTTGTCTTCGATGATCTCCATCTGTTGACAGAGGCATAGCAGAGAACTTCTCCTGGCATCCCTGCTGGTCCTGGTTGTTCCTGCTGACTGGTGCTTTGGCTGAGGCCTGGCTGTTTCTGTTGGGTTGTGCTGATGATTTACTATCCACTGAATTTGACTTCTGGTATCCTGACAAGTGGAAATTGAAATTGCCCCAAGGAACTATTTACTCTAAAGAACTATTTCTAAACAGATCCATTTCCCCCCACCACTCCTCTATATCCTAATAACCTTTTTTTTTCCCACTACCTCTGGTGGGTGGTGAGCTAGAAGGGAGGTTAAAGCATTTAAGAACCCTTATTAAAGGTAAGCTTTGGAAAATCAAAGCCAGCACCCTCATACACAGAGAAAATGAAGTTTAAAAAAATAAATGGTAAAAACTACAAATTAAAAAAAAAGTAGTACTGCAAATGTATTTTGAACTTGCAGAAAAAAATTTAAAATTGAGCTTTAATAAGAAGCTAATGTGTTCCTGACAGTTCCTGTATAGCGGGACAGCAGAGGTGACTGACAGCTTGGTGCCTTGCAAAGATGCCACCACCCTACCCTGCTGAGAACAGAATCTTTCTCTCGAATTCATGGTGATGGCCATGGTCATACAAACATCCCTACATCCTGCTTTTGACCAATGAGGGTGGCCCAAGCTGCCATGATGGTGACCAAATGCAGGGACACAGACTTCCTCTATATTGTCAGCCTACCACCCTCAGACTACTGGCTAATGTTCACAGAGGTGCTTGGCAGTGTGTGGCAGCATCTGCAACATACAATGGCCAAACATCAGGCACTTTATTTCCCCTTAGGCTCCTCCTTAAGTCTTCCTTTAGCTTATGCATTTTCACATTGTTCAAATAGTTTGAATTCTTTATCATCTTTGGTCTATGGTCTATATAATCACCTATACAAACACCTATTTATTATTAAGTATTTTGTTTAAAACCATCTTCCTGGGCCATGTGTGGTGGTGGTGGTTGTGTTTTATAAAAAGATAAAGAGAGAGAAAATATGTTTGGTAGATGTGTAGACAGGTGTGTTGCCTCCACGGGGCCCATGCTGAGGCATCCCTTCCCTCTGAAGAACCAGACACAGGACAATATAGTATAGAATAGAGTTTATTCAGGTCATGGGGAGGGGAATTGAGGGAGTAGGGACAGAGAAAGGCAGAAAGAGAGTAGAGGAATAGAGGCTGTTCATGAGCTTGTGGAGAGAGAGGGGGAAGGGGAATGGAGAGAGAGGTGGAGCAGAAGCAAGAGGAGAGAGCAAAAGCAAGAAAGCAAGAGAGAGAGGAAGGGGCAAGCAGACTCTGGTGTCAAGCACACCAGGCTGTTGGGCAGAGCCTAGACAAAATGCCAACAGTGGTGACCACCTTTAATCCCAGCACTTAGGAGGCAGGGGTAGGTGGTGGGTCTCTGTGAATTTGAGGCCAGCCTGGTCTACAAAACAAGTTCCAGGACATCCAGTGCTACACAGAGAAACTCTATCTCAGAAAACAAACAAACAAACAAACAAACAAAGCTCCCTTCCTGTACTTGGTGATAACCCCCTCTTGTTAAGGCTGGCTACTCTCCTGTAGTACTCTGCTCTGTAAAGTATCAGTGTTTAATGTACTACCTTACTAACTGTTCATTTGCCCCATAATCTCTCCTTGTGCACAAACATGTGTGTGCACACATCCTTGCCCCAGATCTGCCCCTGGGCCCCATTCTGAATAGAGTATCTGTATGCCCCCTAGTGCCTTCTATACCAGGGCTCTCAGCAAGCTAGCCAAATTCATCCCATGAATAGGCAAATAAAAACATTCACAATACAATTCACTTTGAGTAGCTGGCCCTTGGTTTCTCTCCTTTATAGTTCCTATCTAAAACCTGGAGTTGACTTCAGTGTCTTCTGAAGTCTTAGCCATTCTATGTAATAACTGGCCCAGGATTGTGATTTCAACAGAGAAAATGCCATGGTCCCCAGAGAAGCATCTTTGTTAGGAGGGGTCTTCCTTTCTAGGTTGGACTCTGAGTGCTGCCCTATCTTGTAAGTGCTGTCTCTCTCTCAGCCCATTAGTGAGCAGCAAGGCCAAGAAAAAGGTAAGAGGTGATGTTTAATTTTTCTTGGTCTAGAAGCACAGCCAGGGAAGGAGCAGCCCCCTTCCCAAGGTACTTAGGCTTTTAACTGTGATGCCTAACTAAGGTTCTTGAGAATGAAAAAGCACTCTGGAAACCTTCTGAAGTTAAAAATGGAAATGGAAAAAGGGAATGAATTTAAGTTATTAATTTGAAATCTAATTTTACGACATAAAGACGATTATCATGAACAGATGTGAAGAACAAAAGAAAAATTGCTGCCAAATAGCATCACATTTTGCCACTTTAAAAATGTTTCAGTGTGCCATTTTAAACACACTCACACACAAATAATGTTCTGGAATACCTTTGCTGCAAGAAAATTACTTCGATATTTCAATTAGAAGAACATTTTTTTCCCCAAGAAAAATGAGAGTAACCGACAACGGGTCCAAAATCGTTCTTTTTCCCACATCGGAGAAGACTGGCTAGCGCAATCAGCCACTTTCCTGATTCTGTGGATGCCCTTAGAAGACTATTTACCAAACTTTCCTCAATGGGTGAGCTATTTCATTAGCTAAGCACAATTTGTAGATCCCAATCTTTCACCTGGAGAGGAAGAATGGCGGGAGGGGATCGAGGGGCGGAGGCTGCAGGGTAGCCCCAGGGCAGCCAGGCGGGGTGCTGCTTTATTCCTCTCTCCTCCTCAGTCCCGGCGAGTATCACTGAAGTGTGACAAGCCACCGCCACAGGAGGATGGCTGGGAACCACCCGGACCAAGCCCGGCTTCTTTTGAGCCCAAAGAGATCAAGGGGTTTGGTGTTTACTCGTTGGAGAATGCCCTTCCACTCCCACCACAACACACCACCTTTCCAAGTAGTAAAAAAACAAAAAACAAAAACCCAAACCCAAAGCCGCCTGCTGCAGGGAGCCCCAAGGTTTTACCTGTCTTTAATTTATGCAGCATTTTTGCAATTGTGCCACCTCGGCAGGTGTGACCGCGCTTTCGCAGAGCTTCGGTGCTATTTTACCTGCTTGAATCTGTCAAAAAACCATTTGTATGCGCCCGGCTAATGTGCTAGAAATAAAAGCCCCGACCTGTCAGGCAAACTCGCTGCACCTGTTCCAAGCAGTTAAATTGTCCCATCTGCCACTAGCCGAGGAGATCAAAGGCCCTCCCCAGGAGGAGGCCTGGAACCCCGGCGAGGATGGGGCTCCTGGGCTCTGGGTTTAAGAGGATGGCGAGGAGACCCGCAGAGAGGGTGCGGGCGCCGGCTACCTGAAGGAGCCTTTGTTCGGCCCGGGCGCCGGGAGCGCATTCTTTCACACCAGGAACGGCGGGAGAAGACGTTCATTCAGTCCGCTTTCTTGGTGACGTAGTTGGGGCATTCATGTGTTTTTAACCTTGAATAATTTTTGTCTCTAAGCTCCAAACAAGCCTTATCCTGTCCACAGGTCAGTTTTGTTACAGAGGCCAATTAGCAGTGCTACCTTTGCCTGGGGCAACAAGCCAAGCGGTGCAGGCAGTGGCGGGGTAGGCCCTAGGAGAGGCGACTAGGAACTCCGGAGAGCTGTAATTTGAAAGGGGGGCCTTTGAAGCATTTACCTTACATGGGACGCCATTGTCACTGCAGGGTGTTTGATCTTAAAATAATTTACTTAATGATCTCACCATGGGAGCAATTGGCAGAGTGAGATTAGGCTGGAAGGCCTAATGGACATGGGAAAAGTTAAAATTGCTCAGGGGAAGGTATGTACAGACTGAGATCGGTCGGTGTGGTGTGTTCATTACTCCCAGGGGCGCAAAGCCCGGCCATGGCCGTTACAATCCACAGCTTATCTAAGAAAAGCAGAGGCGGCCTCTCCCGGAATGGCAGGGTTTGTGGGGATCAACGCTCTTGCTGCCTTTCGCTGCACACCGGAGCAGAGAATCGAATCAGGGTTGGATACAGATGAGAAGGTGCAGTTCTGTCCCCTTTCGGTGGACACAAGGTGACTGACATTGTTATCCTGGCCCAGGCAGCTTTGTCCTCCAGAAAGGAAATGTTTTAACTGAGCATATTTGTAACTCATGTCCTATTTACATTCCTGCCAATGGGTCTTCTGCAGCCACCTGGAAGACACAGGCAAGGTTGTATGCTATCTCAAGACAAAAGCACTGCAGGTCTGAATCCTCTCAAATTTCAGGCTTCCTTGACTGTTCAACATGGTTTTTATTTTAGTTGCCATGGCCTCTTGTGAAGAGCATCTTATTAATCTCAGTTATGGAATCAAAATGGATTAGTAGTCTAAGAATTGCCGTTCCTATTTATGCATTTGATGCTCCAACCTAGAACTGGGGTACAATAGGCTAGGTACACTTAGTAAGTGTGGAATTCCTGCAATGCAGGTTCTTAGGAAAGCAAAGCAAACTCAAGCAGCATGGTGACATGTTCTTTCTGGAAAGCAAGGCATAAAAGGGATGGTTCTAAACATATTTACAGGTCAGAGAACATTAGTCTGATTCTCCAAGATCTCTGGGAGGTTTTTTGGTTGTGTGATAGAAAGACAGTGAAACATTAGCTTGTGTTCTTGCAAATCAAGTTAATTGTGAGCATGAATCCCAGTGTGCTTGTGCAGCAAAGATGTCTCTCACAAGACTTTGGAGTCTGTTTTAGGTTAATCTGTTGAGTATACACCAGGGAGTCTTCAGCTATCAAAGCAGAATAGCCCTCTTTTGAACTTTTCATTTTATGCCTTACCTGTATTGAAAAAGTAACAATTTATTAATGTGTTTCAATAACTTCTGCTGTGATGTACGGGGAGTCCTCAGTCTTCATCAAAGTTGATATGCCGTTCGTATTCGGCCCTTGTTAAATGACTTTTTAAATATCACAGAGCCCATGCTTCTCTTCTGGGGCCAAGAATGGCAGCAGATGGGAATTGGCAGTTAGCCAAAGAAGATGATATGGAAAATGAGGAACTAGGCACACATAGTTAATGTGGGAATTAAGGTGACATCATGTGTGGGAACCCCAGCAGGCCATATACAGGAAATAGTTCAGTCTTGTGCTCTGGACACATTTGTCCTTTGAAATCAGTCTTCTCCCCACATTCACAGGAGATCTAAGTCTGGTACAATGGAAGCTGTGTGCAGTCAGTAAATTTGAATGGTAAGATTGTTTATAATAGTTGGGTCCTTCTGCAGAAAATCTGTGGAGAACATGCACTGAGCACACACACACCTAGGTATTCTGCATCCTAAGTAGGTAGGCAACAATGGTGCAGCCTTTCTCCACTCTTCCATTCACTTTCCATTTTCCCCAGTGCTATACTTAAAGGAGTTTTAGTTGTGTCTGTCATAAGGGGTTATTACAGTTTAGAAGCCAAGAAGGGAATAGGTTATTCTTACTAAGAACTATTGATGGTCAAGAAAAGAGGGGCTGGAGAGTTGGCTCAGCCAGTTTAGAACACTGGCCCTTCTTCCAAAGGATCCAGGTTCAATTCTCAGTATCCACATAGCAGCTCACAACCCTTCTACAACTCCAGTTCCAGGTGATGCAACACTCTCACACAGACAAAAATGCAGGCAACACATCAATGCATATAAAAATAAAATGAAAAACAGTTTTAAAAGAGAAAGAAAATAGAATAATTAGGAAAGATAGTTATGAGAACTGGAATAGTAACATTTTAATAAACTTGGAATTATTCTTTCTTTAACCCCCTTTCCCTTCTAAGCTCAGCTATACCACATCCATTCTTCATGTGTCTCTTCTCCTGACCTTGTTAATGCTGTTTTAATTTTTGTCTCACTCATCTATTATTTCATCAGTTCTCTGTCTTATGTTACTTCTTGCCCTCTGTAAATCTTTTCTTCCTCTCAATCTCTTCCTGAAAGTTCAGGATCTAAATTATTAAAAGATCAGAATTTGGCGTATGAATATTAGCCATATTTTTAAAAAGATATCACCAATCAGTAATGACCAAGCCAAGGCCAAAAATTGTCAGATCTCCCAATCTGCAGGGGACATGTAGGTCAAGGTGCACTTGACCATCTCTCACAGAGTAAGCAAATGCTGAGCCGTCCTGAGCTTGCTCTCACACAGCAAGGAACAACTGCCTGTAAGTAGCTGCACTCACGCTGAAGGACAATCAGAAGGAGATGGGTGAAAAGACTAGGTCGGGGGTCAAGCCACTTAACCACCCCCTCCCGCCCAGCTCTCCTCCCCTCCCTGCTGATTGCAGTGCTCTGTGTCAGGTACTCCCACTGGCCTAGAACCATCATCTCATCCAGAAGACACATAAATTCCACCCAGGTAGTTCTAAAATCACCCAGCTGATCATTCAATTTATATACAGTATCAAGTGTTCATTTCAGAGCTGTGATTTCAGACCCACTGACCTACCAGTCCTTGACATGTGCTTTGCCGGGGCCCTCCAAGACATAAGAGTAACTTTTTAGTACTTGCAGAAAAAGCAATTGAAGTTCATTTCTCGCAGATTACAGGCCCATCAGAAATGAAAATATCTTCAAATGGCCAACAGGCAATTTTCAAACGCCCATCACTGTTGGTAGAATGACTCTGTTTGGTGCCTACTGGACAGGACTTCTTGTGCAGGCCTTTGTGTTCTGTCATGTCCAAGTCTCTAAGAACACATTGTGTCACCAGGAAACAGATACTGCCGGGATTACTGTAAGATTTTTATTTGTAAATTTTTCTCATATCCCATTTTATTTTCACACAATTGGCAGAAGTAATGCTGGATCTGGAGGGGAACTGGTGGTTTAACGAAGTTCGAGTGCCTTCTAGAGAAACGGAGGTAGGCAGCTGCCGTACTCACTTGGGCTGGAAGCATCTTTGTCAGGAGATGCCAGAGGAGGCCTGCTGAGGAAGTGGCATTGTGCTGTGCCTTCCTCTGTGGTTCTTTCAGCTCCATTCCATGCCCTTTCTCCTCCATCTCACAAGGAAGACCATGGCCACTGTTTCCTAACACCCATCTCTGGTCTCTGCTTTGTCCCCTAGGGAGTTTCCCCCCACTACTGTCTGAATCAGGTTCCCAGGAATCTTGGGAACTTGAAAGATAGCTAATCCTCCCCCAAGAGACCCCAAAGGTAACTTTAAGACAACATGCACAGTAGTTTTGAAGTACTCAACCAGGGTCTTCAGAAATCCTAAGGTGGGAACTCCTAGAAAGTTAGTCATTCCTGGTGGAATACCACAGTCTCTCTCTCTCTCAAATGGCTCCAATTTAAAGGAGAAAAGAAGGAGATTTGGCAGGATGTATTTTTATGTCTTTAAATGATGAAAGAAAGAAAGAAAGAAAGAAAGAAAGAAAGAAAGAAAGAAAGAAAGAAAGAAAGCTCCCAAATCACCCATGTTCTTAAATATCACTGCAAACAGAAGTTCTCCCTCACTTAAAATGACTGCCATAAGTTAACATCCAAATTGATAAATTCTAAATTTAGCTTGAGTCTGTCAATCATGTGACCTTAAACAATCATCTTTCTTTCAGCCATCATTTGCCATCCCATCTTGGGAATAAACATGAATAACAATGTAGCCTTAAAATGGAAACACAGCACATATCTATTCAAGTAAATTTGGGTGGGGATTAGATATTACCTTTAAGTGTAGAATGCGAGTGGGCAAGTGATTTACAATGTATACTTTCAGAATAGCAAGTAATAGGTGTTAGCACTCTCCAGTGAGAGGCAGAGGCGGGAAAATCAGGAGTTTAAGATTAGGTCTTGCATCATAGTAAGTTAGAGGCCAGCCCAAGCTACAGGAGACACTGTCTCAAAACCATAAGGACTTTCAGAAAACCAAGTGTTTCAGAGAGTTTTGCTAAATCCTTTAACTCCTAGCAAGTCAAGTTTTAGTGTTTCAAGAAGGAGACTTCTATTTGGTTGTCCCCAGGCAAACAGATGTTGGACCGATTGGAAGTCTGTTCCCTATAATGGGTTCCAGGGATTGCTCATTTGTTATGGTCTTGTTAGTGGTGCCTCTAAAGACCAAAGCGCTTACTCTAACTGCTCCAGGCTCTGTTGATGAAGACTGCTCTAGAGAAAGACCTCCCTCAAGGCGAGGCCCTTTCCCAGTCAGGGCTTAACTCCTCTATACAAGGAGTGATAAAGGGCTATGATTCCTTATTCTCTCATTCCTCCACTGCAGGGCATGAGAGTGTGGGGAAGGAGTGGAGGGGAAGAATTAATTTTGCATTTGAATTTTGGCTAGACATAAAAGGAAGTGGAGGCAGAAGCTAAAAAGGAAGGATTATTAAGCCCACAAAAGGATTATTGTTTAACCTCTCATCATCTGTAACTCTGGACACTAGACTCCTCTCTCATCCTTTTTAAGGCTTGGGTCTCTGGCCTCCACTCAGGCTACATGAAGTCACCTCAGTCCCACAGCCCTCTGGGAGTGCCTGAGGCCTTCTTGGTCTTACTTTGCAGTTTGATTCTTCTGTTCACTCAGGGTAGCTGGTAACAGGGTAAACTGTCTTTTTCTTTGTCAGAAGCCTGGGGCATGTGGCTCAGTTCAGCTAGCTACATAGCTTGGGGAGTTCTTTTCAGACACATCTATTGGGTAATTTCAGGCCTAGGGTTTACTCTCCAACTGTTCTTATATGGGCTTGAGTGTGCCATTCTGTCAGATGGGAAGAGGGAGACACCATTATATTGCAGCAAAGGACAGTTAGCAGCCACTTTAGACAACCAGACTGGTTCTAGCTGTTTGGGGAAGAGGGGTGCTGCTATTGTATCAGCTTTGGGTACCAACCATGCAAAGATCTCTTTGTCCTCTGTGCCTATCTAGCTTCCCTCATCTTCACAACCCCAAAGGTATAGTTCTCTTGAGAGCCCATCCAATAAACTTCTTGCTTGAAAGATTCCATCATGAGAATTGTTCCCCAGAATTGGACTTAGGTTTGTAAAATGTAAATGCTGCTTCTGGGTAAGTGCTTTATGGTCTCAGGAAGGTGAGGTAGTTCTCTGGTACACTCATCAGATAGGCGCTCTACGTGAGTCTAACCTTCAGCATCTGGCTATTGACCCAAGGCTCTTGCAAAGATAGTAAGCAAGAGTCACACAAGTATCCATATGCAATTTTTCCTTTAACAGGCAGTGAGACACTCCCTTTGCTAGACAGCACCAATTCCTCATGTGGGCCCAGAGGGCAACTAAAAGTAGGATGAAAGACTGGTACCTGTCATCTCTGCTCTCATTTTGTGTTTGTCTCTTGTACTTAGATTCATGTCTGATTGTGCACAGGTATGGTCACTCACAGTATTCCTTTGCCAGGTCAATTTCCTCTTCCTGCAAGGCTGAAGGAACAGAGACATCATTGTCCTAAATCTGTAGTCACTTTGGATTCTAGGAAGGGCAAACTAGGACAGGCCATTCCCTGTGTAGGGACAGTCATCCATGAGGGCCAGGTCACACCCTTTTCAGGTCAGTCATCTATGTTGGCTAGGCCATTCCCCAAAGAAGAAATAATGATCTCATTAGAATCAGCTTACCTTGCAAGCCAACAGCATTCTTGGCATTGCTTAGCAGGACCAGAGCTAAGGCAGTTATTCACTAGACCGTACCTTCACTAGAACTGCCTGATCATGCAAACCCCTATCCCCAACCCCTTCTCTACTTAAATCTGAAGTTCATGTCAGTATCTCAAAGATGGACTTGTGGGGTGGGAGAGACAGCTCAGTGGTTAGGAGCTCTTGCTGCTCTTCTGGAAGATCCAAGTTTGGTTCATAGCACTCATTGTTAGGAGACTGAAAACTGCCTCTGACTTCAGATCCAAGATGATACATCTCTGGCCTCCACAGGCACCTACGAGCATATACACGTACTGATGCAGGGAAAATCAGGATCCCCTCTTGGGGTTCTTAGTCTCATTAAGAACAGGCTTTAGGAATGTGCTTAAACAGAAGCTCAAGGACATTTTTATTATAGTTTAAAGAAAGACCTGAGGACAGGCAAGCTGTAAATTTTAGCACCTGCCCAGAGGAGTAAAAAAGTGGGGGTAGGGGAGCCCTGCCATTGAAGCTGGTGTGGAGCAATGATGAAGTGGGCAAGGCTGTAAGGCTGGAAGATTTAGAGGGAGGTGGGGGGGAAAGGGGGAGGGGGAGGGGAGGGGGAGTGGAGGGGGAGAGAGAAAGGAAGCCCAAAATGTTGTCCTGGGGTAGGGGTTGCGGTGGGGAGCCCAAAGTCTTAGGAAAACTGCATTTAGAAAGGAGATAGACAAAAAGGAGAAATTATGCTTTTTGTTAAGTAACTCGGAAAAGCAAGCAGACTTAGGACTCTTAGCAAGGCTGCAGTCTGTGAGCTACTATCTTAGAGGCAGGAATTCTGGGAAGGAAAAAGTACAGTATCTCATTAAAGGGCTAACTATTCCACCCAACCTCTCTTTAGCATGAGGATGAAGATCGGCAACCTTCTAAGGATGGTCCCTTAGTCAAAGAAGCATAGCTGAAGTGTCCAGTGTCCACCCAAGCCAGAGAGTTTACTCTCTTAACCAGGAGTTTTGGTGTGTTGTTGTTGTGTACTCTTTTTTTTTTTTTGGTTTTTCAAGACAGGGTTTCTCTGTATAGCCCTGGCTGTCCTGGAACTCATTCTGTAGACCAGGCTGGCCTCGAACTCAGAAATCCACCTGCCTCTGCCTCCCAAGTGCTGGGATTAAAGGCGTGCGCCACCACTGACCAGTGTTGTTTTGTACCCTTAACAATAACACACAATTAAAACTTGAAAAAAAACTTTTTAAAAGAGGAACTGTAGTTGGAGCCATTGGATTCTTTTTTTGTCTCTTCTGAATGTGTCACACTGAGTGAATCTTCTCTCTGCTGTTCACTGGTTCTCCTCTCTTAATTGAGTGGCTGAGTGAAGCCTGCTGGTTACACTGAAACTCTAGTTACACTGGTGAATATATTACTCATGAGGCTCTTCCTTCTCATTAACTCACCTTCACTGTTCATTTCTATCCATGGCTGCTAACAAAACCTTGCTCTGCCAGTCTCCCTTGCCCTGCAGTGTGCTGGTTGCCCCATGAGGGAACAGCGGTGCAGATGTCTTGCCTCCAGAACCTCTTTGCTCATTGTACTCATTCCCCCACCCCACCCCCAGGCAGGGGCTGACTCTGCTGTGGCACCTCATCCTCAAGCTTTTGGTGCTAGGTCCCCAGGGACTGTCAGAATCTATCAGTGCTGGCTGTCCGGTGGAGTGTGTGGCAAGTTTCCAATTCTCTGCATTCACACCTGGCACAGACCTCAATGCTCAACCTGAGTGCCTTGTTTCAAAGCTGATATCATCAGAGCTAATGCCACCATCTCCTTCGGGTTTGGTTGTTGTTGTTTGTTTTGTTTTCGTTTTTTATACAGAGGGCAGATTTTGCTCAAGTAAATGATCAGTTACCTAAGCAGAGTCACTGGCACCTGCTACAATTCCGACAGGCTAGGAGGGTTCTCCAGTTCTTTTACTGAGTTCATCACACCCTCTAAAAGTCCCCCTGGAGGCCTAGAGGCTCAGGCTAGTGACCAGAGAGCAAAAACCTTTCTTTGTGCTGCTCTTGGGCAATTCCTCTGGGGCCTATTCACTGCCTAGAATCCCTACTGCTTCCACAGCCTGAGGGGATTTCCATCCTACCCTGAGAATCTTCTGATTGGCAAGCTCAGTGCACACCAATTAGCTTCTTTGCTTTGCCCCAGGGCAGGTGTTTGGGGAACTAAAGGTTCCTGTGATTTGATTTGAATCTTTGAGTTTTTTCTGCTGTGCAATTTTTGTTTTGACAGTATTTTTAATCTAACAGGATTGACTTCAACCTCTGTTCCAGAGTCCACCTTCAGCTGGAAAAGCTAGAGAAGTGTAGACTAACTTAGTGGCCAAATGAACCTGTTGTTCTTCACAGTAACTGCTAAACATAGCATCCAGGTACTAGGGCCTCTGGTTACTACTAGCCCTACTTAGTGTTAAGTAGCCTCACTTTGAGCCAGTGTACATTTATGTTTTAACTCAACCTCATCGATTCTGAACTTGACTTTAAATGACCTTTAAAAAACAAATAGACAAAGGGTTGGAGAGATGGCTTAGCGGTTAAGAGCACTGACTGCTCTTCCAGAGGTCCTGAGTTCAATTCCTAGCAACCACATGGTGGCTCACAGCCATCTATAATGGGATCCAATGCATTCTTCTGGTGTGTGCCTCATATAAATAAAAATAAATAAATCTTTAAAAGAAAAAAGGACAAGTCAGTTGTTTATGTTTCTTCTGGAACCCATCTATCCTGGAATTTGCTTATAACTTTCTTGCATGAATCCCCAGGGTCCAGCTCCCTTTTGTGCTGAGAGACAGCAGTGGGAACTTGGACTCAGGTTTCCTGGACGCAGATAGACCCACTCTGCCCAGTTAGCTGGGTAGACTTAGGCAAGTTGCTTAACCTTTCTGCTCTACGGCTGCCTGTTTGTAACTTGGTCCCTTAGGAAGACCACCATGCAGATTAAAGTCTACAGCAGAGTCACAGGAAACACATTCTATTCTTGTTGGTTCTCGCCCTCCTTGTGTTTATATTATCTTGCTTTGGTTGTTCAAGCTTAGAGATTTTAAAACAACTGTCCTCTATGTCACTGGCCCTTTTGTGCCAAAGCACAAGAGACGATTTGGGACATTTAACATCTGTCTCCCAGGCTACTTGCTTCAGTTTGCTGAGGACAGAGGAGAGGAGGTCGCCCTGTTTTTAAGCTAGGGGGCAGGTAGAGGTAAAAAAAAAAATTAAAGTAGTTTTCTGCCGGCCTCTGAGTGGGTTTACTAACTTTAATGGGCAGTGAATGTGGAGAAGGAGGTTAGTGTTCTATACAAACTCCGCTTTTCAAAAGCTCCCAGGAAGGGTCAAAGACCAGGAAGTACACTCACTGTACTTCTGGCTTTCAGCTGAATTGAACGTGGCAACGGGAATGCAGGCCTGAATCACACCCCGTTCCGGAGCCTTTCTCTTTGCATCATAATGAACCGCGGGCCCAACAGAGGCAAATTGCTAGGAGATTCAAAAGGATAAACTCTAATTTCTATTAAGCTGCTATTCTAACTTCAGCAGCTGCTTGTGAAAGCAAAACCCAGAACCTCCGGGTTCACAGCTCCTTCGTCCGTCCGTGCATCTCTGTGGTACCTGCAGAAGGCTGTGTGTTTGCTGACAGGCTAAATGTACACTGTACACAGAGCCAGCTCTTCTCTTTGTCACCCGGCACCATCTACTCCTTTAACAGCGTTCTCATTATTTTAAAGCTGTCTTCATTCGCTTCCGAGCACAGTAATTAGAAGCTGAAAAGCCTCCAGCACCAAACCCAGCCAGGTCTCCCGAAGAACAAGATTTCTCCTGGGATTCAACAGGTGACTCAGGTTAAGCCAGGGAGTGAGGCACAGTGATCCACAGCTGGGCAGCTGCTGGTCTGTCGAGGTGTGACCCAGCAACATCACCCAGGTTTTAGATTCTGGTCTCCCTTTTGTTTGTGCAGCTTTTGTTTTCCTGTGGAGAAAGGTAGAAAGCTTGCCAGTGCTCTGGGAAGAGTTCTTGGTGTCCCTTAGAAGTGGGAGGTGTTTTGTAACTGAGTTGAATCCAGTAGAGAGCTGAAGGGAAATGAATAGTTGATTGGAGGAGGAGGGAGGAAAGAGGAGGAGGGAGGAGGAGGGAGAAGGAGGAGGGAGGAGGTGCTTTTAAGGTGAACTAGTTTTAAGGTGGAATAGATTACCTGCACTCCTGGACCACTTTTTTGTTTTGCACCCTTTCCCACTACACTGATTCTGAACTTTGACCAAGTGTTAGTGTTGGTATCAGGCCCTAAACCCAGTGACATCACATCTAGACGACCCCCACATCGTTGCCAAGGCAACTGCCATACACTCCCAGAATCCACCTGACTACCTCACCTTTACCTGGGAGAGGCTATGTCACCGCCCATTTAAAACAGGCAGAGCCCACTGACCTCACTCTCTTCTTCCTCCATCTTCTTCTTCTATTTCTCTCCCCCCACCTTTGCCCTAGCTCCTGAATAATTCCCCCCCCAACCGTTTGGTCTGGTGTTGTCTGTTCTAAGCTGTGTGTAGACGGCTAACGGTATTTTGCATGAGTATAAAACCCATCTCTCTCTCTCTCTCTCTCTCTCTCTCTCTCTCTCTCTCTCTCTCTCTGTAGAGAAACAGGAAAGGGAAATGAAAACTGAAGGAGAAAAACAAAAAAGATGAAGGTTGGAAGAAAAAATTCAAAGAAAAAAAGAAACATTAAGAAACATTATACTCTCACGTTTCACCTGGGTCTGCCTGCTAACTTGGACCCTCTTGCTTGAGCACATCTCTGCCCATTTCTGTCTGTGCCGTCAGTGACCCTGGGATTGTTAGGTGGAGGAAAGGGAAATGTGTTCTGACATCTACAGCTATTCGAGGAAACTCTCTCTCTGAAAGTGGGTACAAGTGAGAACCCGCTTGACTTGCATTCTCTCACTTAAGCGAAGCATCTGAAATGTGAAGAATCTTGGGAGTTTTTTTTTTATTATATTTTAAATTCTGCAGGTGAAACATGGAACTTTGAAAAATGGGCCTGTCAGCACTGTTTTCCATAAATCTACTGATCTGTCATGTGTTTCTTCTGGTTCCTGTTTGCTAATTGTCACGTGGTGTTTCTCTTATATTTCTAATCTCTAGGACACAATGAAGCCTATCAATCAGTGTGAACCACGGGAAGCCTCCACCTCTCTTAGATCCCATCCCAGCTTTCAGGATTGTAGCTCCAGAGTCTCCACTTCCTACTGGGCCAGCACCTTCCACTTGGAGACTCTTTAGAAGCATATTGATCCTTTCTTCTTCACCTCCTGCTGTCCCCAACCCTACCACCATGCATGGAGTCTGCTCAAGAAACATGGCCTGATGCTCAAATTGAAAGGAAAGAGAGTCAAGTTCTCTGGGTAGATAGTGGAGGGGCCGTATTCTATTCTGCTTGGCCTCTGTGGACAGGAACTACTCACTCACCTGAATACAGCAGCTGTTCCTATGCAGGACAATCTATCTGACTAAAAAGAGAAAAGAAACAGGGAAGAAAAGGAAAAAGGAATCCGAATTATTTCCTAATTTGCCTTGATGACAATGATGTTGTCAGGTGGCCCCAATTGCCCTGGAACTTTCTGTGTAGCAAAGGATGACTTCGAACATCTGAATCTCTCCCTCAGCCTCCTGAGTGCTGAATTACTGGTGCATAGCAACACACCCAGTTTTTGGAGTGCTGAGGACAGAACCTAGGGCTTGTGCATGTGAGTCAAACATTCTAACCAACCTATATCCCATAATTTATTTTAAAGGCTGTCTTTAGTTGATATTGAACTTTTCCTTCCCTTTCTTCCTTACATTAATCTACTGTGAAGCCCATGGCAGGTCACACTGGGCTCCTAAGTACCAAAGGCTGTGGTTATAGAGACCCTGTAAAACATGTCTCTGCCTCTAATTAGGCAGAGACAGAGCTCTGAAGATCCAGGACAGAAATCTCATTTTTAATATCTATCCATCTATCTCTCTATTTATTTTTATACATGTGGGTATTTTGTCTGCATGTATGCATATCAGAAGAGGACATTGGATCCCATGGAACTACAGTTATAAGATGGTCATGAGTTGCCATGTAGGTGTTGGGAATTGAACTCAGAACCTCTGGAAGAGCAACTACTGTTCTTAACTATTAAGTCATCTCTTCACTCCTAGAAATCTTATTTTTGATCCAGCAGAAGGGAAATAGGAAGGCTCCTTTTACCATTATTAAGTTTTAGAAAGTCAAGCCCAGTGCTGAGGCTTCATTTGGAGTCTAGTGACTTCACTAGTCCTCTACTGTCATCAGCTGTTTGTCAGGGACTATTTAAGAACCAATGGTTTCTTTCAGAAGTGAAGCGTGAAGGGAACTTTTAGAGAAAAATCAAAATCGAGCTTTTGGGGATGTAAGAAAACATAAACAGCTCTGAACCCAGTGCAGGAATGTATAGTTCCCAAATGTCAGTAAGGATGTCATTGAGGAGCTAACTTGTTATGGTTTGGGAGGACTGCTGGGTGAGCATGACTGTGGCAGCTGATCACAGTGCTGTCAAAGCAGGAAACAGATGTGTCCAACAAGACATAAACAGACCACTCTCCATGCTCTCACTGCCGTGCCTGCCCTGGAGTGATGCTCTCAGACTGTGAGCCAGAATGAATCTCTGTTCCTTTAAGTGTCTGGTTTCAGTTTCAGAAAAGTTAACTCTCATAGACAGTCACTTCCCAGCTGTGTCACCACTGCAGGATCCAGGAAAATCTGTATGAGACTCTACAGTACCTCAAAATCAAATGTTGGATTTAAAAAGAAAAACTGTTTCAGTGACTCATTTTACCCACTTTTAATTAGCTAAAGGATGGTTGAATTACTTTCTTTGGGGAATGCCAAGAGATGGTCTGACTTATTTTTTTTTTTAAAAAAAAAAACACCCTAAGAGAGATTTAGGCATTTTATATAGTCAGGTTGACTTATCAACACATACGCTATTTATCCAACCTTTGAAAAATACCAGAAACCTGTACCTGGCTGCTTTGAGATCAGTGTCATTCTAGTTAGGGTTCTGTTGCTGTGATAGGACACTCTGCCCAAGACCAACTTGGGGAGGAAAGAGTTTATTTGATCTCATACTTCTGGGTAACAGTCCATCACTGAGGGGAGTCAGGGTATAAACTCAAAGGATAAATGTGAAAGTTGGAACTGAAGCAGAGGGCATGGAGGAGAGCTGCTTACTGGCTTGCATCCCATGTCTTGCTCAGCTTGCTTGCTTATACAAATACAGCCCTAACTATCCAGGGTGTGTCCACTCACATCAGTCTGGGCCTTCCCATATCAGGTATCAGTCAAAATTACCTATAGACATGCTTTCAGGCCAATATGATAGAGGTAATTCCTTCACTGAGATCCCCTTTTCCAAAGTATGTCTAGATTTGTGTCAACTTGATGTACAAGCTGTCTGCAAGCCCAGGTTTAGGTCACTGGTACAGGCCTGCCAGAGGAGCTGGACAGGAAGCACCTGCCCCTGGGAAGGTGAATGCTCACTTAGGAAATGCAGATAGGTCATCAGATGGGGCTGGGAACTGTGACAGCTAACTGCAGGCACCCAGAAGAGCTCAAGCAGGTGGGGAGAAGGCCTGGAGAGCTCCACAAAGGGCATTAACTATTGGAAAGGGACCATAGAGCAGCCATGAAGGACATGATTGACGGAAGGATCAGGAAAGAAGAAACAGCCAGTCCCCAAACAGCATCTCAGGCATAGTGGAGGCAAGACCACACAGAAGGGATGGTAAACGCTTGAGCAGAGGAGAGGGCTGTATCCAGACCTGGCAGAGAAGACAATGATGGGGGAGGGGCTGAGAGCAATTTTGTCTGATGACTACAGGGAATTGGGAGTCAGCAACCATGGGCTGGATGCTTATACTCCCTCAAATTCAGAAAGGAACCCCTGTGTGATGATGGTCTTTGTAGAGGGTCCTTTGAGTGGTGATGATAGGTCAAGGCAGTGGATCTCCGAGGGATAGCACTCCAGCATTTTTTAAAGAATCCAACAGGGATCCATTGTTCCTTTCACCACATGAAGACACAGCAGGAAGGTGCCATCTATGGACCAGGAAGTAAGTTTTACCAAACATGAAATTTACAAGATCATTAACTGAACCACCTCTAGCACTTAAGAAATCAGTCTCTTTGTGGATACACCATACCACCTAAGAGCACATTGACCATATATTAAGTGACTATAAAGAAATGAGACTCAATGATCCCTGGCTGGGAGGTTGACCAAAGAAGCTAGAGACCTTGATCCATTTCCCTCTCTCCTTGACACAGCTAGTCATTCTCCAAGCCCAGTCAGTTTTCCTCTGTAATATCTCCAAAACTACTCTGTCCTGACCCAGTCACCTGCACTATTAAAGTCAGTAAATTACTCCCTTAAACTTGGCCTCCTGTCTCAAGCATTAAAACATAAATCAGATCAAGATGTCACTTGAGTTTAAAGTCTGTTGTGCCTCCAGAATGTAACATTCTTTCAACATCGCCTCTGAAGTCCTTAGAATCTAGACTTGGCCAACACTTTGTAAGCCTTAGTTTCATAAATTGTTTTTAGAACATGACATGTTCTTCTGTGCTGTATTGTTGGACTTCTCTCTTCCATGTGACTTCTTTGCTGTTATCATTGTTTGGCTTTTCTTTTGAAACATGGTCTCATGTAACCCAGGCTGGTCTCAAGGTTGCTATATATCCAGGGATGCCTTTGAGTTCCTCCAGCCACCACCTCTCGATCGCTCAGATTACAGGCCTATAGCACCATACTTGATTTATGAGAAGCTAAAGACTGAACCCAAGACTTGCATGCTTGATAGGCACTCTACCAATTGAGCTACATCCTCAGCTCCTTTCCCAGTTTTTGAATGGATGAGGGAATGAATGACCAGTTAAGACAGAGCGAAGAGCCATGACAAGGGAAACTAGTGAGTTCTGCCTATGAAGAAATAATTCACCACCACAGTTGCCTAGAAATGAGGGTATAAAATGGAGAGTTTGGTGCTGGGATTCATCCACAGTCCCATGTGTCCCAGATGTCCCTTGTTGCTATTGTACCCAAGTATAAACCAGTGAGAATCAACTGACAACACTGTAATGCTGAGTTCAGATGCTCAGCAGAAAATGTCCTCCTCAACTTTTGTACACAGAATGAAGCACTGGTCAGTGACTCCAGATGAAAGGCCCTGGCTTTTATTCCTAAACCACAGGAAACAGGCAATTAACAGGACTGGGGATTTGTATAGAGCTTTAAGCGCCTTTTCAAATGATGGCAGTAGGTTGGTTTTTCCTCTGTTCCTCCAAGGCCTTTGAGCCAAAGGGCCCATCTAATTCTTTTCCAGTGCTGACATCATTGGAATCTGAAAACTCCTTAATTCAAAGGCATTCTAAAAGTTCTAATACAGGGTTCAGCTGCCAGAGCCAGCCTGCCTCCAGGTGCTGCTATTTTGAGGGCTCGGGGTGGTGCTGAAGCCTTCTAGGTTGTCGTCTGCCTCACACCACACTGAGCTGCTTCTAGCAGGTCACAAAGCTCCTATTGCCACATCACCAAACTCAATGCCAGTAGCTTTTCCCAGACAGCCACTTCTCCTACCTGAAACTCTTTCTCAGTCTCTTGTTCTCCTTTTAGCTTCTCATCTACCCAACTCTCCACATGTGTCTTAGTGTTTCCATCACTGTGAAGAGACACCATGATCACAGCAACTCTTACGAAGGAAAACATTTAATTGGGTCTGCCTTACAGTTTCAGAGGTTTAGTCCATTATCATCATTGTAGAGAGGATGGCAGCATGCAGATAGATATGGTGCTGGAGAAGGGGATAAGAGTTCTACAACTTGAACCAAAGGCAGCAGTAGGAGACTGTGTACCACACTAGGTGTAGCTTATGTTTAGGAGACCTCAAAGCCTGCCCACACTTCCTCTAACAAGGCCACACCTACTTAAAAAATACTATATCTTCTAATAGTGCCACTTCTTATAAGCCAAGCACTCAAACACTTGAGTCTAATGGTGGCCATTCCTATTCAAATCACAACAACCTGGCACTGCCCACAACTTCATTTAGAATTTCTTCTCTTATTTTTCTTCATTTATACATGCCACTATCTAGTTCCACGGATTCCAGAGTTACTTACATGCTCGTAATTTCTAAATTTATGTTTGATTCTTGGGGACATTTCTGAGCCTGGTTGCTGGCTGCAGGAGCAAAATGTATACATTCTTTATGATGACGGTGATTTCATGTTGGGGACTACATAGTAGCAAAGGTGGAGTCTTTACCACAAAGATACATGTTTCATGCTGGGGTTCTTCCTCCAGTTCCTGGGAGCCCAGTGTTAACCAGCACTGTCTTCTTTCCAACCGGACTCCAGAGGTATATATACAAACACCTTCCTGGTAGCTCCCTTTTGGAGGTTTATCTCAACCCAACCTATTCTAGCTGTATTCCCCAGATCCTGCAAATGGCACCCCATATTTCTGCTGCTCAGGTAAAAAGTAATATAGAATGTAAGAG